ACACACACACACACACACACACACACACACACACACACACACATATATATATATATATATATACTATATATATATATATATATATATATATATATATGAATGAGCATGTGTATTTATTCTGTACATATCATATTATCCGTTCCTATACCTGGCTATGGACCTATATTGCTTTTGACACTCTTCATTCACTTCAAAACCAGTCTGGTGACGCGAAACAAGAGTTTGTTATCCTCAAACGCTTTGAATTCGAACACGAGCGCGGTACTATGTGTGTCATTGCCCTGGACACCAATACGTACAAACTCTATGTCTTCTGCAAAGGTTCTGTGGAGAAGGTTACGCAGGTAAGGTGTGCTATAAAGTGAGCTAGTTAGTTACACTGCGGGTGCTTTTGTTTATTTGTCTCATTCTGTTGTCCCATTTCACTGTCTGATTTCGTTTCAATAACTGTACATTTCGTTATGTATCCCATGTACGATATATATTAAAAATTCAAAAGCCTTCCAAGGGATTAAGAACTAGCGTAACAACGGACTGCGATGCTCTGATATGTTATCAATCGCTCACTGTTATTTTAGCTGTAGACGGACTCACACAAGCTCCGAAATACCTTCAGAAACATTTCGGCAATTGGAGGCGGATGTTTCAAATTTCATCAGTATCACTCCAATTAATCAGATCCTATCTATCACATTACACACATCCCATCTATTGCATATGTGTAGTGCAATAGGCACATGATACTTCCCATTCCATATAGTCCCACTGACTGTTCCGTTCTGATGGACTCATTCCAACCACAGCTGTGTAGGCCGAGTGGCATACCCAATGCAACATCACATGTGGTCAAAAGCGCAGCAAAAAGGGGTGCGTATGTATTGGCCGTGGCCCACAAAATGCTGGGCACAGTCCCCGAGCCCAATCTTACCACAGAACAGGTTCGTTGGCAGGAAAGGGGTTTGCACCTTTGGTCCTTTCTTGATGGATTTGGGGACACACACACACACACACATCCTGAGTGCAATATAATATGTTATCGATGTATAGTGCGTATAAACGTAGATATATGTGTCTGAGAATGTAATCGTGCTTGGCAACGTAGTTATGAGTCTGAAAACGTAGTTGGTTTTGGTGCAACTGGGTACCTTTTTGGCCCTGGCTCCCAAATTGTTGAGCACAGTCTACGAGAACAACTTTTCAGCCGAAAAAAGACGTTCGAATATAGGGCCTATGATTGCAATTGATACCTGTTCAATTACAGAAACGAGCCACACGTACGTTTATTGAAGGACGAAGGCTATTAGGACTATTCATGTCTGTGTATTTGTGAATACGTGTACATGTCAAACGTATCCGGATAGGCGTGAGGCAAAGGTTCATTTTGGTCCCAATTTTAGCAGAGGATAAGCCAACAGCCCACTAGATGAAGAACTGGCCACTAGTAACGAGCAGAATGTATAGGAGTACTACAGGTGATTATGTAGTAGTCTCAACGGTATCAGATCATATCATATCCACAGTAAAAGGTATAGCCCACCCGACACCAATGGCATATATACCGTGAACCACGATCTATGGTGTAAAAGGTGCCAGGTTAACCGGCTATTTCACAACTGTCTTGGATGGTATCTTCAACAGGGTCGTGAACGTCTGAAAGCGGGGCTGCGGCTGGCGAAGGGTTGGACTTACCAACAGGCGACT